ATTGGGCATTGTGTATAATGTGTGTATACCAAGCCTGATTCTTCTGTGTTTCTGAAGATTTATGGGCCAACAGATTTTTTAAAATATGTTTCTTTTATGTCTCAATGAAAATAATTTTTATATTTCACTGTACATTAAGGACTTCAATTGATACAATCAGATTTTTAATGTCAGTTTAAATTTAACTAGAAAATTCTATGAAAAGTAAGGGCAGTGATCACAGGGATTTAGGAATATAAATGTATTTAAAAATATTTAGCAGACAAAATTAAAAGGATCTTATGTTGAATTTGTGGTAATGAGACAAAATGGCAGAGATTGAGACAAAATGGCAGAGATTAAGTCCCAAATGTCAAATTGACCTCCATCCAGTTTGTGGAATCCATGTATATATCTTTGCATTTTCTTACCATGCTATAATTACTGAATAATTATTCAGTGATTAAAAAGATATTTAGCCTTTAAAGTCATTGTCTATTTTTTTTCCAGATTTTAAAGGCAAGTAAAAAAATTAGTACTGGTGATTGACATAAATCTTACAAAAAGAAGGTACTTATTCTGTGGAAACATGAGGGATCACCTCCACCTCACCCACTTTATCTCTTATGTGAGGTTTTTGCCCAGGTCTAGGAAACAAATTGATACAAGATGGATTAATAAGGGAAAAGCATATACGTTTTATGCATTTCACATGTTCATGGGAATCCTCACAAGAGTGTGAAATCTAAATAAATTGTCAAAGCAAGATGTTTTTATACTTTTAGAAAAAGAATGATAAATTGCAGAAAAAATTACAAAAAAAAAAAGAGAAACTGGCTCGAAGCCGTAAATTTCAGGGGAGTCCCTAGGAGGTATATGGGGGTATAAAGATAGTGAAAAACAAGAGTTAATTCTGGTAGTTTATTTATTCAGGTCCACTGCATTCCCCCAATTCCCAGGCTCTAGTGATAAGGGCTATTTTCTATTCCATTACAGGGAGGGTACCGGAACAGTATCCGAATGTACCAAAGATTCCTGAAGGAATCTTTAGAGCTTGCTGCATGCTGAAAAAGACAGGTCAGATAACCTTTTCCTCTACTGTCAACAAAATGTCTTCGATGTTCTCAGTTCAAACTAATAAATATGCCAACTCAGCCTATTTGTCGATGGCATATCATTCACTCCTTCAATTTACTCTATTTCACTGTTGAAGGACAACTTCTTGTGATGAGAAAGATACTCGTCCTTTAAAATAGAAAGAATACTCACGTCCTTTTCCATAAATCAAATTTTGCTAATGTAACATATAAGAAATCTCTAAATGCACACAATCTATGTTATGAAATCCACATAGATAGCATGTGACATAAAATTTGCATCTCCTAATCTAAGGACATGAAACAAAGAATGACTGTGAAGTGCAAAATAATAACCACAGCTTAACATTTGGAGGGAAAGAAAAATGGCTGAAACCAGGCACAATGAACAGTGAGCCAAGGATTCTGTGAGGTAATGAATTCGTTAATTTCCCCACCAAGAGGAATTATTATCCAACTTTCAAAATTATCTGTAGTACATTCTCATAAACAATGCAGCAATTGACAGTAGATTTGAATAATTGGACTTTTTATGTTGTTCTTCTTAATGACCTTAAGGGGAAAGGAGTGGCCTTTAAGTGCAGACAGCATGTCAGAGGGGTGACCTCTTTATCTCCAATCCCAGGGTCATTGACATGAAAAAATCCCAGGGTCATTGGCAAGGATTCACCTTGCCTCTACAGGAATGTCAGTAGGAGGGACTTCAATGATGCCATTTACTGAAAAGGTACAAGCCATCCATATTGTTTTTCAGTAAACTAACTTCACAGAGATGGAATTATTTCCCCAAGGCCATGGTATGTCACAGAAAATCATAAAGCTAGGTCTCCTGATTCCCTCCATGAATCACTACCTGGAATGGGTAAAGAGACTGAACTGGGCACCACTGCTTAATTCAGTCCTCCCTCAGGCTCTTTCCAGTAATAACAACTAACAAAAACAGCAGACATTCCATCTTAGTGTATTCAAGCTTCTATGAAAAAATATCTTAAACTGGATGAACTATAAACAAGACAAATGTATTTTTCAGAGCTGTGGAAGCTGGGAAGTACAAGACAAGGTGCCTGAAGATTCAGTGTCTGGAGAAAGGCTTTCTGGTTCACAGACAGTGGCTTCTATGACACCATAGATGGCACCATCTGCTGTGACCCCACATGGTAGAAGGGACAAACAAGTTATCTTGAGTCTCCTTTAGAAAGGCATTCATCTTATTCAAGAGGGTGCTACCCTCAGGACCTAATCATTTCCCAAAAGGCCCCTACTCCTAATACTGTCATTTTAGGGGTTTAGATTTAAACATGTAGATTTGGGGAGGATACAAACACTCAGACCATCGCACATTCCCACCACTAGCCCAGACTGCATGATATTATTCACTTCCTGTCCACTCTTTCCATCCTTCTCAGGACGGGCCTCGTGGGCATATTCACAGGGTTCCACACTCGAAGGGCTCCATGCGTGGTTTCATGCTCTGCTGTTGTCATTGAAATATTTTATAATTTCATCTCTGAGTATGAATGTGATAGAGGAGCTAGACAGGCTGGCAGCATGTGCACACAGTTTGGGTCTACTGGTAGTGACTACACAAGTGGGCTCAGGCAAGAACCACGTGGGGCAACTGGCCTGGTCTTCTCATGCACACACACACACACACACACACACACACACACCTTGTAATACTTCACAGCACCACAGGACCCAAGCAGTGTCTGGGGTATGACTGGGCTCATGTTGGTGGTGATGACAGAAGCAGCAGCGCAGGTGGCAGTAGGGTATGAGTGTCCCTAGCTTGGAAGAGAGGAGGTGCTTGCCCTGGCAGCAGCAAGTGACTGCTGATGGGATGCCTATTTTCCCTCTGTCCCAGAGCCCATGCCTGTTGTGTTCATTGAATATCAGAAAAGGAAAAGCCAGGAAGATTAGGCAATAAACATTGTTAGCAAATTATTACAAAATAAAAATATACACTGCTCATTGCAACAAAGCACAAAAAGGACTTACTCTGATTCATAAAACAAGTTCAAAATGTATGTTTTAACTGCAACAACATGGCAAAACACATATCCACAGGCTTCAAAATAGAAATGATATCAAAGAGCATTTCAAGAATTTTAACTGTGTAATACTTTACTGTTAACTTTAGTCATGGAAGAGAACAATTGAATTTATTTGTACAAAATACTGATGAAAGGAAATGAAGAAGAATACAAACAAATGGAAAGACATCCAATGCTTGTGGATTGGAAGAATTAATATTATTTAAATGACCAAACCTCAGATTCAATGCAATGTCTGTCAAAATACCAATGGCATTCTGCACATAAATAGTAAAAACCATTCTATGATTTGTATGGAACTATGTAAGACCCCAAATAGCCAGATCATTCCTGAAAAAAAGAGCAAAGCTGGAGGCATAACAGTAGCAAATTTCAAACTATACTACAAAGATGTAGTAATCAAAACAGAATAGTACTAGCATAAAAACAGACACATAGAACAATGACACAGAACAGAGAATCCAGAAATATATCCACATATCCATAGCTAACTGATTTAATTTTTTTATTTTTCATCACTATGGCTACATAATAGTAATATATAATGATAGCGTGTACGTGATGTTTTGCTAAAGACCAGCACCCCAAATATGTATCATTTCTTTCTGTTGGGAGCATTCCAATTCCAAACTTTCAGTTATTTTTTAATATATACAATATATTCTACAATGAATTATTGTTTACTACAGTCACTCTATTGTGCTACCAAATACTGGCTTTTATTCATTCTATCTATATTTTTGCAACCATTAACCATCTCCACTTTATCCCCCCTCCCCTGTACCCTTCTGACCCTCTGGTGACCATCAGTCTATTATCTATTTCTATTAGTTCAATTTTTAAAAACTTTAGCTCCTAGGTAGGAGTGAGAACATGTAAAATCTGTTTTTCTGTGCCTGACATTGTTAACCGATATTTGACAACAGTGCCAAGAGCATTTATTGGGAAACCGACAGTCTCTTCAATCAAGGTGCCTGTAAAACTGGATACCTACATGCAGAAAAATGAAACTAAATTCCCAATTCCTACACTATACCAAAATCAACATAAAATGGGTTAAAGACCTAAGTGTAATCATTCTTGATCACTGATGGCACCTTCCAGTCTTTGTTATTGATCTAAAATTTACCTGATGTTAAATCATTTCCCTGGGTTTCATTTCAGTACAAAAAGCATAAACTTGTCATAGGTCAACCAGAGTGATATCAGCACTTAAGAACCACTGATAAGCCCTCTGCTAAATCTCAGTAATAATAAGTCCCCCTAAATTGAAAGGAAGAGTAACTGGTACGTTAAGTGTCTAAGATAAGAAAGAGAAAACATCTGACAGAATTAGACCCACCAAGTCAAGAGATTTTTGCTTTTGTTTTAGACATAACCAAAAACAATTTAATTACTGGAAAATAAATTGACAATAATAAAATTGTTATGCTGAGTGCCAACTTCAGTTATGCCATTTTCATTTTCATTTCTGCATGAACAAAAAAAACTCTACTTGACAACATATTAGCAAAAATATGTACATTCAAAATTTATGGAAAAATGTCATGAAGAAAAAAGGTTGTTTAGAATTATA